TTTAAAAACGGCTTTTAAAGCTTTTTAAACGTATTTATCAAACATTTCCAAGGACTAAACGACACAAGCGTCCTATTGAGCGTTTGAAAAATTTTGTGACATCCAGCGAGAAAAAAACGTATTAACCATAATATGGTTATACAATATTTTATTACTGTTAGTGGAATTAATGCCTAGGATTATCTCAATCCTATGATATATCACATGACGAGGTTTCTCTTCTATTTTTCTGACAACATCAATGTTTTCCGCCACTATTAGTCATTTTGGACGACTTTCGCAAAGTTCACTGGTGAGCCAATGACATACAATATTATAATTCTTAAAGTAGCGTTTTACAATGGTAAAGGACAGATCTTTATCACCAAAAGTGAAATTTAGCTGACCGCTTCAGTTTTGTATTGATTAACCACGTCGAAAGTCATAATAAATCTTCGCGCGAAAATTATTATACATATATCCTTAATTCGTCAACTGTCACAATTTTAAAAACGGCTTTTAAAGCTTTTTAAACGTATTTATCAAACATTTCCAAGGACTAAACGACACAAGCGTCCTATTGAGCGTTTGAAAAATTTTGTGACATCCAGCGAGAAAAAACCGTATTAACCATAATATGGTTATACAATATTTTATTACTGTTAGTGGAATTAATGCTTAGGATTATCTCAATCCTATGATATATCACATGACGAGGTTTCTCTTCTATTTTTCTGACAACATCAATGTTTTCCGCCACTATTATTCATTTTGGACGACTTTCGCAAAGTTCACTGGTGAGCCAATGACATACAATATTATAATTCTTAAAGTAGCGTTTTACAATGGTAAAGGACAGATCTTTATCACCAAAAGTGAAATTTAGCTGACCGCTTCAGTTTTGTATTGATTAACCACGTCGAAAGTCATAATAAATCTTCGCGCGAAAATTCCCGCAAGTCAATTCCATGTTTTTGTAGTCAAGATAATTTTCAATTCAATGTTAATAATACAAAACGTGCTCAAATGATAAAAAGTTTTGAATAAGGTTATAGTCAAAAATGTCAAACTTTTTATTAAAAGTATCAGATGTCGTCTAACAGCACGTTATGTTGTCGAGGCTCACAACTTAAATAGTGCCCTAGTATTTCTATAAGTACAGTCGTGTCTGGTTCTANCCCTTTGTGCGCGAGCCCGACTCGCACTTGGCCGGTTTTGAGGGCTGGATCCGCGCCTGAGGGCCAGGAAGAGAAGTTGATTGAGCGAGACTACTGTCTCTAACTGCACTGTAAAACTGGCCTCCATTAATTTAGCGCGAGTTAATGTTATTTCAACTAGAGCTATCTAGTTCGCTATTAGGTACCTATCCTTAGGTGTGATCTCATGCTGTTTTATTTGGTAGTTTCACAAAGTTGTCATAATGAGTGGAAAAGACGAATAAAGGAAAAAATAATTAAACAATATCTTATCAAAGATAAACGAAGAAAAAGGAAGTAGTGATTACAGATCAAGAAATTTTAACAAAGACTATAAATAATTAATTTATTAGACAAACATCGGTTACAAAATTACAGTTTTCAATTTAACATATCAACGTGTATATCCCTCTTGGTTTGGCAGATTTTACTTTGACAAAACACGCTTTTCACATCTTTTAACCGTTCGTTAAGCTCTGCTCACATGTATTTCGGTTTGCCCAAAAAATTTAAATCCAAAAACGTGTACTGTCTAAGTAAATTCTCGAAATGACCGCTACCAAACATTTACAGCCTTTTTAAATACAGATCGAAACTGGCTCACGTGTGCCACACACGTGTACCCCACGGCTTTGATGTTTAATATACTGTGCATATTGTATGAGCACTCAGCGCACATTACGGCCCTGACCGCGTCCTTCGTCCCGCAGGAAGCAATCATGGCCGATAGCGGACGATAACGCGCTCAATTGATTTAAAACCCGGCAAGGGTACGAGAAATATAGCTATCTGTACTTTACAGTCAGCATCAAATAGTTTGTGACACCCAAAGTAGCTAAAAATTTCTCAACACGTACGTGTTGTTAACTTTTTGGCCACTTTCGATGACTCAAACTATTTGACGTTGACTGTACGATTAAATTCAGATTCAAATTCTCAGTAATGTAGGTAAGGCCCTTTTCAAGACACTTATACACGCACATCATATTGGCTGGTGCTGAGAAGTGGCGGAAGAAACTCAGTCACCTTTCGGAATGTTCTAGAGAGAATCAGAATTATTCAGAATTCTCTCAGGCAGTTAGGTACTTACTTTATTCTAACCAAAGAATTTAGCATTAACAGCTTGTTATAGGCACAGCCAGCTGCCTGAATTCACTGCTTTGTTACTTCTCTTATCAGTGTTTTGATAATTTTGTGTGAAACAACCAATATATTTTCCGATTTTATGTATTATCAATTCTGTGAAATTAATTAGGTTATATGACTCGTTAACGGCTTTTGATTTGAGAAGCATTTTAAGAGGAAATGGAGAACTGTTTCATATGAAATTCTCTATAATTCATACGGAAATCTTTGGAAACGGAATGGAAGGGAATATACTTCTCATTGGACTAGCTAGGAAAACTAAGATAACTGTGTAACGACAAGTATTTAGTCTACACGGAGGAGATTTTTTCCCTTTTGTTTCCATACAGTCAAGTCTGGGTTCCATCTCGAAATTATTCAAAGCAGTCTTGTTTAGCAAAAATATTACTCATGTTATTCGGCAGAACCAATTTTTACACCATGTCAAGATGGGTGGTTAACACAATTTGAAACCTTGGTAATAATAACACCATCCAACCAAAAAAGTGCAAGATAAAAGTGCTATTAGCACGAACAGAGGCGAACATGGCCAGCAGATTGCAGACATACCACACCACGATAGTGTGGAATTCACGCGAGATGTGCGCGTGCGCATCTTTTGAGAATTTAGGATTCATCAACAGTTAATGAGAACCAGAAGTAAAGAAATTACACAGCGATGCGCTGATTTATAGTGCTGATCCAGGATTTTGATTTCAATTTGGGAAACTAATTGTTGACGAGTTATTTTGTGAGAATCGTAGACTTCAAGGTTCATTGGCTGTCCAGTTGGTTGGTTTAGTCTCAGCTTAATGTCGGTCTTTTATCGTTCCGTGAATCATGGTTGTTGGAATGGTAGATTAGTAAGTAGGCCAGTTATCGTGACTGTTTTCACGAGAATGACCTACATCTTGCCCTCACAGTGGCACCTGGTGTTTGGTAAAGCATAATTTTTGAAATAGATTTAGTGTTGTAGGTCGAAAAGCAAGTCTCAAAGTTAGGTAGTGTATCGCAGAATTCGCAGACCCCAGTCGTGTGTACAATCGGCCTTACAAAAAACAAAACTAGCAAACGAGCCCCGATGATTACATTTAGTATGTGAGAAATCTGTTCCCCTCCATATTCATGAGCGTTCAATACATCGTAACGATCTCCATTATCATGATAATGTGGTTTTTCTCCAGCTTACCGAGAAATGTGATGTTCGCCAGTCGTTTAAATTCTAATTTGATTGAAAGTGAATTTATGAGTTGGCTGATGTATGGTTTGTGTTGAAAGACCAGACACGCTATGGCGTTTATAACGACAGGAAAGAGAACTAGTAAAACAGTTTACGGTTCCGTTCCTGACCAGATTAAACGCTTGTAATTGGTTTGTTAATACATAGTGCTAATGAGAAACAAGTAGCAAATCACCAATATCCTAAACATAACCGGTAAGAAAGGTTGTAACAGGCCACAAGATAGATAAAAGAAAATAAAATAACTAGCGGAAATTGAGCCGATAAAGAACCGCGAGCCATTGAAAGCGAACAAACGATTTGCGGATGTCAGCAAAAACGCCCGATAACATGGGGTCCGACTCCGAATAACGAGATCGACGAAGTCAGAAGGTTATTTCCTTGCTAATCCATTCATTCTCTACCAGACTTTATATTTTAGTGTCAAATATTCAAACAGAGCAAATAATAGCAAATATTGACGACGGTTCAAGTGTCTGGACAAAAGAAGAAAATAAAATGAATTATGTAATTCGAATGGTGGATGTTTTCGAATTCGATATGATAAACGGTTATTGGCACCATATTGCCTTTCGAGTAGAACCCCAGAAAATGAATGAAGGTCGCAGGTAAACGAAGTGTCTGTTGGACAAACGGTCGCGATAACAGAGGTAAACGAACCTGCGGTAATGAGAGATAGTAGTTTAAATAACAATTTAACATCTTGGAGGGTTTTATTTAACTTTGTCCCGACCGATATCACGTTAACATTATTTACCTAAATGTTTACAGATCTAGCATACAAAGTATTCCTATAAGAAATGGGTAAAAACACAGGCAGTAGCTAATGATAGCTCGCGAGCGGAAATTACTACGCCCATCGTACCTCGGTAGGAACGGGACTTATACACGCAGGTTTCAATTTAACTTTTATGTTTTGTGTTTATTTCTCCAATCCTTTCCAAACACATTTGAGCAGGAATTTTTATCGAAATCAGAAAATTGAGTGGGTGTTACGAGTTTCAGTACTTTATCAGTAAAAAAATATCACGGTCTCTCCGCACACATGTTTCATTTCTTGTTAGTGTTAATTTAAAATGTTATTGCAATTTCATAATGAAAGTGCAATAACATTTTAAACGGAAAGTATCTAGCTAGTATTCGAGATTCGTTTGGGTCCGTTTTAAATGGTTAATTAAAACCATACTCGGTAAACATTTTTACAGTCAGTTCATCAACTTTATTTCGACCACAAGACATCTACTGCTGAACATAGCCATCCCGCAATAATTTCCAGATTGGCAGCAGTTTAACTAGTACATTATTCATAATTCCGATTCTTGACCCCAATGGGTTTCATTGGGGTTTCATCTACCAAAGAACCGTGCAACTATTAAAGCTTCGCTTTTTGTTTTCTGTTAAACAAAACTATCTCCAGAGTCTTCCTCCACCATCTATTAACATGACACAATACCACTTACCACTAGCCCTCTGAAACTGCACAGCCGCCCTCTGGCACTCGGCCCTGGCAGCTGATGCCACGTTCACAGCGTCGTAGTAAGGCCTGGACTTGTCCACGCACGTCCCCAGCCGTTTGACCAGCGCCTGCAGCCGGCGGGACGTCTCGTTCAGCAGCAGGTGGAATGTCTTCATAGACTCCTGCAGGGTACGGTTGTGGGGTCATTATAGGAATACTTAAAAATCTAATTTTATGTCTATTTCATCATGGACTCCTGCATGGTACGGTTGTGGGGTCAGTATTTCTAATACTTCGAAAATCTAATTTTATATCTTTCGTCATGGACTCCTGCACGGGTCGGTTGTGGGGTCGTTTTACTCTCTAACTCTGTAAAGTAAAGAATGTGTGCATCTAAAAGGCATTTAATCGGAAACGTTTTCCTAACTAGTCATATTATCTAGGTATCGTGGCTTCATCTCCAAGTTTTGGATTTATCATGATAGGTGAAAGGTTCCGTCAGAATATTCTGCGTATAATTATGCAAGGTGAATGCAATGTCAATAGTTGTTAAGTATTTTTTCCTGTGCAACAGTGCAAGTACGAAGGGTTGCGCCAATTACAGCGGTCGCCCAATTGACCCGGCAGCTATGCGCGCGCGCCGCGTCACTTCTATTAGCACACCTTGAATCTCTATTTATTTTATTTAGCTCGTGCTTCGCTGCGTTGACGTGTGTTACGGCTGTTTTCCTACTGTTTTATTTTCTAAAATATTAAGTTGTCGCTTAAAATAAATTCGTAATCCTTTTCAAAAATACGTATGACATCATCGCGTGATCAGTGCAACGTTGATTGTCACTGTTATTACTTTAAGTGATAGTTAAATTGCATATTAGGCATTTTTGTTGCAAAATAAAACGTATTATCCCATGCGGCATGCATAAGATTCCAAAATATTTAGCTTGATTTGCTGTCGTCTGTACTCAGATATTCTGACTTCTCTGCTGCCATTTTCATATCCCTATGTCATTAGCGACATCCTAAACAGACCGCACAATCTTGGAACGAGTTTTGCTCGTACTACGCGATTATCTCACATCCTTCAACTTACTATAGTACAAGAGTATGGACAACAAGTTTTACACCTCCATACTCGTAAAGTGGTGCTAAACCGGTTACCGAGTACAACAGGTGCAGGTGCATATGTCCGGTAGGTCTTATTGCGGTTGCAGAAGACTGCAAATGGGTGCATAATGCACACTGCAGCTGACTGTATGACCACGTAACAGGATTTCTTTCATCTCGTTACGCAATGGTTGTCGTTTGCCTTTGTTTGGGCACAATGCTGGTAGGAATACAAGGCTGACCATTGTATTGTATGTATTGACATTATGTAAAAAGCAGTAATTAAATTTTGCTGACTCCTGTATCTTTGTTATTCAATATACTTTTTTAATTATTGCAGCAGTAACGTCTGGGTCTGGTAAACATATTGAATTGAAATAAATTGAAGAGGTAGAGACAGTCCAGAATTTTCTGCTTAGAGCCTTGTTTGAAAAATAAAATTTGTAAGTAGGTCTACGTTACTAAAAAAAATGAATTTTCATTTTTTCGCTGAGGCATTATTTAAAAAATCAATCAGTACTTTATCCCGAAATCTTGCCGCAGCACGGTACAAATGGCAAGGTTTACACGGCGCGCGCGCAGAGGTCAAACACCAGGCATTCGGATACGCACCTCTGTTACGCATGCCCCAGCGAACATCTTTAGTGGAACTACCAACCATTCACTAACTTGAACCTATTGATTTCATCTTTAAGACAAGGCACTAAAGTAGTATTTACATGAGCAAGTAGCGCCAAGTCGTTGCGGTGTTGTAAGACAAATGAAGCTGAGTTTTCACGGATGGAAAATAACCAACTCGGTCAGTACTCTCTTCTATAATACTTATAATAAGTCAGGAAATGCTTAACCTAATCGACTATAAATCATAACATAATACGTGTAAGAGCACACACTCGCGCATATATTTTTTCATTTCCCTCATACTACAATTAGGAAGAGGACATTATTATCTTCATCAACGGTATTGATCAAGCATAAGCTAGTAGTGCTACTAAATTACAGGGAAAATTTTGCGTCGTATTTTTCACGCAAACAAGTGTAATTTAGACACCGATAACTACACGAGGAAAACATGTTTATTATGCAAACCGGTTTAAATAATAAAAATAAGTACTGCGTGTCTCTTTTATACACTTACACATCCAAAAAGTTAAATAAAACTATATGAAAGCCATACATATTAAACAGAGGAAAACCTGGCCTTGATCAGTGCGCATGATAAATGTTTTCCACTCTCATAAGTGAAGTTGGTCTATTTTTGTCTACAATGGAACGTGCTAGTATCAAAAATGTTCGGTTGCTGCACAAATCGATAGCTGTATGATTAGCCAGGTGTGCGTTTGTTCTCAAGGCTACTCCATCCACGTTTTACCGATTTTTTAGGAACAGAAATCATAACTTATTTTACCCTTGAGATGAGATAAGGTTATGTTTAAAGCCAAAACTGGTCGACTCTATAATTTTTAAGTGCATTGTAAAAACTAACTTGTTTTAGGCGTCTGATGAAAGAATTTTAAGTTCAGAACTCAAAATAATCTAATTTGATGGATAGACAAAACCATTTGAATGAATTCAGATGCTTACTGATGCGATATATTTCTATTATTTAACCAACGGTGAAAAGACAGTTGCTTCCTGTAGAAAGTCCCAAGTTCCCAACCATAAATAACACCTTAAAATTTAAAAAACGATTGTTGCAACTCATGCGTATAAACTTCCAATTAATTATGTACAAGACTGCACATAAAGTTAAACACCCTGGCATCTTATGTCTTTTGTAATAGGTACTATTTTGAAACGAAAATGTACAGTCTGAGATGCAGTTGACTGCACTAAGGTCAGGTGCCCAACATCTGTCATTGCATCGCTTATCGAGCACGAACTTAATAGAATTTGTAAACATGTGATAAAAACTGAACTCAGAGTATAATAAATACTATTCTATTTGTTGTACCTTTACGCCATATTGCATCAAGGTTTAAAGATATGATGGTTGCGTTGCAAGTTACAATGGATGGTAATCAGGTTGGTATAATGAAATCGCTTCTGCAACTGATGAGGGAATACACCTTTTCATTTTACATTGGATTTTCTCCCTCAATTAGGTTTCCATACAGGTTCTAGAATGTAGCTGGTGTCAGATAATTAATTCCTCTCTACTTTGGGACTTCCCTAATCTGCAGATGATAACTTGGTGGCCTCAAAATGGGTCCCAGGCGACCAATACATCTCCTTGATATTTTTTTACTGGGGATGTTGAATGAGAAATATTAAATAAGGAGAAATCACAAGGGTTTTTTAGGGTGTTGAAGAACTGCAATGGGACAAGGATATGCTTTTTATACAGGTGCAAATAGAAGTTCTCTGACTTATGTCAGACAGAGATATATTATTATCGCCCTTTATACAGATTAGTATGGGATTAGAAGAATCCCTATTGAGAAATGCCTTGCAAAGGAACGTGACTAGAAAGCCATCACAAGGAAAACATGAAGCCATAAGATTTCCCTGAAAATAATACAGTTTTAAAACTAAACACAAATTCAAAAGTCAAATTATGTATCGCTTCCTTTGGGTGAAATATTGCAAGCTTGAATAAACCTGATTTTATAAAAAGAATAATATTATGATTAAAATCACTGCGGAAGGCACATTACTCTATCGGTCCGTTTGTCTCATCATTTACCTGAATTTAGACTATTGGAAAAGTTGTAAAGTAATTACATCAGAATCAATTCTCTGAAAGATCGTAAATATTGTAAAGGGCACATTGATATAAAATAGCTATTACTTGCAAGAATAAAAATGGGTCATGGCTGAAAGCGACTGCCAACAAGAATTGTGTTGTAGAGATGATTGATCGAGAACAGACGAAGGAAACCATTTTCCAAAGAATACGAGTTCGAGTCGTGCATAAATGATCCTGCAGGCAAAAGTTGAGTCATATTTTACTTGTAAAGTCGGCAAAGTTCCTCTCAGTTTGTGCAAAATTATTGCTTCTTCCCAGCGGATTTTAAATGGGATATGAATTTTAGTCTTTATCGCGCGCGTTTAAATCGCGTTTAAAAATCCGTATCAAATAGGTACCAATTTCAGTAGTCCCATACCATCATCCCTTGTACCGAGATTCAACAATATGTCGAATGTATTGTTTTAAGTCGCTTCCACTTTCGCCCTGATCATCACTTACCATCAGGTGAGATACAGGCCAAGAGCTTCCTCGTTGTGGATAAAAAAAAGTTTGTTTTCTGCACGTAACATGATTATCTGTAGTTTTGTCTTATTAAAATAAATAAATGGGTTCAACTCAACGGTATCGGGAAACGTAATAAACTGAGAGAAAAACTTCCTTTACACTGATTTTCACTTATAATATTGTACTGTGACTAATAATTCATTATACGCTGCTAGCAACGGCTAATACATTGCATAATAAGATAGGTCGGAAAATAGTAATACTACCAATTTAAAGCGCCTTAATCACTGCACAATCGGTAAATCCAAAATATATCTTATCACAAATGATATAAGAACTTTACCACTAATTTGCCGATTACACAAGATAAGAATGCATCCGTTGCAAAAGGCACGGACTGTGAATGTCACATAGTGGCATTTGCAACGAGTACTGGGAAAATATCCCACTGTAGTCCGACAATTTATTGTTAGGCAATCCGATATGAATGGCTTTGATGATTAGACAACTATATATGACAGTAACTGACGGTTATAACGTACTTTGGGTTCTTCGTAGAAGCCACCTGTGATAATGCCACGTGGCAATATGAATACATCCTTATAGTATACATATTGCCACGTGCCGTGCGTGAAGCGTGGTGGTGGTGCTGCATAATATAAGATGATACATGCATCAGAAGTGACTATAGGCAATTGAATCAGAGGTCATCAGATCGATCATTATGTCGTTACTTTATAGATAATGAACGGATTCGGATAAAAACTGTGATTAATTAATTAATGGATGCGAATATTTTAATACGACACACGGTTATCGGTGTTGCCAGGATCATGAAAGAAATAATATGTAGTTAAACGCAAGGCTAAGCGTAGGCGCAGACCACCGATTTTTAGTTGGCCGATAGTTGGGCCTCTATTTTAATTTGTATGAAGAATTGGCCAAATCAAATCGGTGTAATGTCCGCACTTCCATACATGCCTATACTGATCAACTGTCCGACTAAACTATCGGCCGATGAAAAATCGATGGTCTGCGCCTAGGCTAAATTTAACTTAGTATAAAATGATGAACTCACATCAAGCTCCAGCTCCAGCTTGTTAATCTCGTCAGTGGCCGCATTCAGCTTCTCCAACTCGACCTGGAACGTTTTGAAGAACTTTAGGCAGTCGCACGGCACTCTCACGCTCTCCCACGCGTGGGGCAGTAGCAAGCAACACGTAGGGACGGGAAACCTTCGCGAGTGACGCCTGCGCATCTCATACAACTAGATTCCTACGACTAACACTATCTTACTGTACCAAAATACGATTGCTTCCTGTCCCTACGGCCGGCACAAACCTGCCGTATCAAGATAATGTCAGATACGGCAAATCTGCAGCCGACAAGCGACTAATACATAAACTTTACTTACTTATTTATCTCTTCTATTTGCCACTTATATTTCGGTCCAAGGAAAAACTCAGTGAAAATGCTAAAATTACATTTTATTTCAAATTACCATGAATGTAATAGTACAGTATACATAGAATCATACATGCGATAAATTTTACAATACAAAAATACTTTTTTTACGCGATCAATTGTGTTTTGTTGTGGTTAGGTATATAACATTTGGTGAATTTATAAATGAAGTCGATTAAATAGTTCTAATACAATTTGCTGCCAAATTATGATTCCCTTATAAAAATTAATAACATAATTATTTGTGAAAATAATAATTCTAAATTACATTTAAAAAGTAAAGAACATAATTATTAGTACTGGAATGGTTTTCAAGTTTTTATTTAATAATTAAACTGTTTATTTTATGAACACTTCACTTTTGGTAAAGTTAGTTTAGTTACTATACAAAAGGTAGGAGTTCAATAAATATTAGGCCGTCAGGCTGCATGGAAATATTACAATCCTAATATACATTATAATAATAATAACTATATTTAGAAACATTAAAATATGAGATTACTAATGAGTAAAACTTGAAATAACAAGAAAAATTACTGGATAAGCAAAGAAGTTAACAATTTTGTTATAACTTGTTTAAGGTGGATCTCCACTAAATGCTCCAAAAAATTCAAACGTAAAATAACTAAAAGCAAGTACTGAAAACACTGGTTTCAGAGATTCACTTGAACCAAAGTCCAACAAGGTTACTGAAACTGCAATAAAATAATATAGGTACAGTACAAGGAATTATTCATCCTCTAAGTACTCAGTAGGGTTAGTTATTGTGGCCTTAATAAGTAGATGAGATTAATAAGATTATTGTGTTTTAGGCCATCATAAGTGTTTACTAATAATAAAAATATATTCTAAATACGTAATTATAGGTCACAAAGTGAAATTATTTTGTGTTAATGCAACTAAAATAAAAAAACTACCTAGAAATAGTATGAAATAATGACCGCAGAAGTAGCAAACAATAATGTAATGGGATAATTTTTTGATAAACAAAATAATAATGGATATTATAATACACCTATTATGGCTCTAAAGGCTGTAAATTAAAGATATTATAGCCAAACTGTACAGCTCATTTGGTTGGGTTATTAACTCTCTATCATGTTTAACATGTTTAAATTAGCAGGTCATTCACATACCTAGAAACTTAAATAAAATTAATAATTTATTTGTTATTTAAACTAAAAATTGTGATGCTACTGTTTCTAGCAATTTATACACATAAAGAATCGTTAATTTTATACAGACTGGGCAGAAAGCAATGCTGAATATTACAAACTAGCTTTCCGCCCGCGGCTTCGCGCGCGTGGACTACATTATCTACCTATTTTACGGAACCCTATTTTTTTCCAAAATAAAATTTAGCCTATGTTACTCGTGGATAATATAGCTTTCAAATGGTGAAAGAATTTTTAAAAACGGTCCAGTAGTTTTTGAGCCTATTCATTACAACCAAACAAACAAACAAAGTTTTCCTCTTTATAATATTAGTATAGATTACATTTTAATGTAAATGGCACATTTGTATAAAAAGTATTGTGAATGCTTTATTTACCATCATGTAACTTACAATTTTATAATAATGAAAATTGACAAACTTATTTAATAACTAACATAACATAATTTCGTGGACAGGAAACAGTCCTATAAGGTACCAAAGATACATTTCGATGAGAAATATGGACTATTTATACAATTCTACACATCGCGTACACACCTTAAACATCGACGAAGATAACTAAGTATCAACCGATACGTGAATTCATAAGGATTTGGACCGATCAGTGCAGCTCACTATCACAAATGTATTTGCCGGAGACGAAGCGGCGCTTGACGAGCGAGAGGCGGTAGCCGCCGCCGACGAGCTCGAACTCTATGCCGGAGAGCGTGGCGCCCTCGCAGTTGAACTGCGCCGAGGCCGTGGCGCGGCTCGACGGGCCCGCGCCCAGCTCGAAGCGCGCGCGCAGCGAGCCCACGCCGCGGGCCTCCGAGTGCTGCGACAGCTCCGTGAAGCGCCACAGCGCCTGCCCGCTGTCCGCGCTCCACTGGCTCGGCGGCATCGCGATCACGTTCCGCACCGCGCCGTTCATCGGCACGCACACCGACACGTTCAGCAGCGGCGACGGCGGGCTCATCGCGTGCAGGTTGTACTTGTAGTCCACCTTCAGGTCTGTGTGGTCGCGCTCGCACTTCCAATAGGCCACCAATTGGAAAGGACACGACGCCGCCCCCGCCTTCGGGCGGATCTGGTACTTCAGTATGTCCACGTTGAAGTACTGCGCGGTCGGATTCTTCTCCGACTGCCTCTTCAGCAGGGAAGTCAGAGCGGGCATGTTGAACTCCACCACCGTCGAGTCGCGGGTCGACAGCATCGCGTTGATCGATATCAGCTGCTTGTTCGGCAGCACGTTGTCCAATCTGTGGATGTTTTTCAGTCTGAAGCAGAGCTTGGCGGGATTCGGATTGTTAGCCAGAACGCCCACTATGCCGGTGGGGAAGGACAGCATCATGTCGCCGGACATTTTCACCTGGCATTTGGACTCCTCTGTGCCCCGGAAATATGAGTGTATGATCTCGTGAAATGCGACAGCCAGGGGAATGGTGTCGGCCATGCCGATGGTGAGAGGGGAAGGTCCGCGGGAGCCGGAGGAGCCGGCGGTTCGGAAGTCGCCTTCTGACCGCCTCGAGGGTGGACGTGGCAGCGAGATGGTGGATATCGTCGGCGTGGACGTGCGGACGGCCGATTGACTCATCTCGCCCACTTCCGAAAACAAGTCCCCGACGTCCGCCGTGGACACAGGCGTGGGACTCTCCAGTAAATGCGATTGATTAGCTTGCAATGGCGCATACGGATTTGAGACGTTGCCGTGTGGCGAGGTAGGATTGCTCCCGGTAGGGCTTTGGAAGAAGTTCAGATCTAACAAATCGCTGCTCGCTTTACTTGTGTTGGCGTTTGATCCGCGTCTTGTATTAGTGCCTATTTTGTACAGAGATATATTTTCTACAGTGGCCCTCAACTCGTCGACACTGGCAGACATGGGAGCGCCGCCATTACTGATAGGTTTAATCTCCACATGAATCTTACGATCTCTATCCTCATCTGAGTCAGAGTCTGTGGAAGAGTAAACACTACCTTTTTCATCTTTAGGTCTTATGCAGTAACCCTCCTCATCTACTTCAGGAGAATTCATCAGATCCTCTTTAGTCACCACCTCCTCTTCTTTTTCTTCTAAATCAGACTTATCACCTGCATTTGAGTTTTCTGATATCTCATCTTTTTTCTTTTTTGATTTTTTTAATTTGGTCTTGGTCCTTCTGCTACGAAGGAACCATTTTGATTCACGGAGAGGAGTCCTGCCCATGTTGCTGTCTTTGTCTGGAGCTACCGGTGTGGCCGGTGTACCGCTGGGACTGGAAGGGGCAGAGCAGGGAGCCGCTCCATCAATACTGCCACTTGGCTCATCTTTGCTCTGGAAACTTGGAGTAAACAAGTTCAGGAGAGATGTGGTCCTTCTTGAAGTCTTAGTGGCAAACGATGGTTCTTTCTTGGGTGCCTTCTGAGGCTGTGCTGGCTTGTGAGAACCATTCGAAATGGTGGATATTTGATCTGCTTCTGAAATCGAATTATTAGCTGACCCTGGCTTGGTCAACGATGTGGGCAGCTCTACCAAATTAGCTTTCTCTATAGCATTATACTTCTCTATCAAAAATTGTTCAAGAAGCTTTTCTACAGTTAACTCTAAGCACTGATGTTTAAAATCCCTGTGAACCTGTCCTATCAGATCGTGATTGTTCTGAGTGATGTCTGCATACGCATTCACAAACTGTTTCATCTGCTTCAGATGGGCCTCCTCAACATCCTGAAAATGTTTACAGGTTTGAGTCATTTTCTTTTCAAAATCTTGTTTTACAAGGTTGTATTTTTCAGCCAGCTGCCGATAGTCCTCATGAAGCTTTTTGAGTTTAACTTCTGCTTTTTCTATGTCTTTAGCTGAAGCATTATCTTTGCGCAGCTTTTCTAATTCGGTGGACTTGCTGGTGTACACATCTTTAGCTTTCTGCAAAGCCTGCTTAGTGTTCTGTATGAGGAGCACTACTTCGAGGGTGTTGGACTCGGAGTCCTTGACGGCCTTGTGTTTTTTGTGAAGCTCGTCGGCGTAGCGCGCCACGTCCTTGACCAGCTCGCCGACCTTCTGGAACATGTCCTGGTGCAGGTTGGCCAGGATCTCGGCCGAGCACTTGAGCACGCCCCAGAAGGGCGCGAACGTGCCCTGCGCGCAGTTGCTGTTCGCCTGCTTCGCTAACTTCGCCAACGACTTCGAATTGGACTCCTCGATGTTCGATCGCTCTCTCAGGTACTCCGACAGCTCCTTGCTCGCGATGAGACCGTATTTCATGTTTTGATACAGAATATCGTATCCATTGTGCTCGTTGGCGAAGTAATCGACGAAGTTGACACTCATCTTTGCAGTTACAAAGGCTACAGTACAGTTATTTCAATACATTATATTGTCACTCACTGACCTGTATTCTGGGATCGAGCTCAGAATCACCATTGTCGTCGGCTGGTATCGTGAACGAGGATTCCTCCATTGTAGTTAGGACTAGGAAGCCACCCAATCACCTAAATTACATCACCGACACAAAAGTTTAGCGTCACATTCACTATAAATTCACTGAGTCCGATTGGTTTTTATTGTTGAACATCACATAAAACTGTATAATTTGGTAATATATAAACGAGAAATACTAAATACAGCTCCGAGTAACGTGTTTTTTACCAAAATAAATAATAAAATAGGAATTTTTCATTCAAGATGACGTCCACCGTCATGACGTCAAAATCATAACAATAGACAAACATTTAAACTTTTTTATAAGAGGATGATAGTGCTGTATACAATTGAAAGTTCAATTAATTACTAGCATATTCATTTTAAATCTAGCACCGTTATGGTAGTGATATTATTTTAGAAATAAAACTTCAAGAAGGTGATTTAAATTATTAAATCAATCACAGGCTTGACTTTGGAATAGATAATAACACACTTTGACACTACATATTCGAATACCTTCGATTACTCATAAATCACAGTTTAACTTTATACTAGTCTATTATCCCTCCTTCAAGCTCAGTTGGGTAATAAAAAAGAAGCCTCTTCTCTTAATTTTTTATCTTATTTGCAGCGCCCAACAACTTCCATAAATATTATCTATCTTTTGTAATGTAACACACTCTAAGAACCCATGTAGTATGGAAGCAAATGACATTTGGAACTTTTTGCCCCACTTTTCGAAAAGTAGCGGACACTTACAAACGAAACCTATCACAGATGATACATACTAATATCCAATGAATTACCGTGCATTTTTTTTTCTCTCTTATATGGGAATATTGAGAAAATGAAGTTTTAATATTTTATTTTATTTTACATTTAGGTAACATTTTTGACGACCTCGGCGGCGGAGAGGCGCACACACCGGTTTTCAAGGTGTGCCGGGCCAATCCTGAGGTCCCGGGTTCAATTCCCGGCCGAGACAATATAGAAAACGATCTTTTCACATTGTCTCTGGTTTGGGTGTGTTGTGGTTCGTCGTTCCCGATTTCCATAACACAAATGCCTTAGCTACTTATTTTGGGTTGGAGTAATATATGAGATGTTGTCTAATATTAATTTAAGTATTTATAATATTTTATTTATTTTTATTATTTTATTTACTTTTATTGGTTACTCTGCAATGCCAAACAACATAACATATAAAAATATCAAATAATTTTAAACAAATATATTTTCAACTTAGACCCGTCATATCTCAGAATTCCCATATATCACAACATAGCGCTTTAAGTGAATATACCTACAAGTATAAAGCTTTGAAATAAAATACGTTTCATCTTTGTCCGCCGTGGGGCATTTTCTCATATTAAAGTTCCCAATGTCCTTTATGGCCGCTTTCACACTAGGGCGAGAGAAGCGCGATAGCAGCGCGGCAGCGGTGTTTTTTTAATGTCTTTTAGTATGAAACTATCGGCAACGCGTTTATCGCGCTGCTAAGTCGCCTAAATGTGAAAGCGCTCAATGGGTAATTTAATATGTGATTATATTTTAACATGACATGATAAGACCTCAAGAAGGTTTTGTGTGATTGATGCAAAAATAGTTAAATCCAAACTAAAATAGAAAGACACGAGTCTTAACGCGATATTAAGACGTTAAAACCCGTGTCTTTTTATTTAAGTTTGAAATAGAACGCGAAAGTTTAAAATCTTATAGTTAAATCTAATTGAACAAATTGAATAAGTAAATGTCATATGAATATCGGAGGTTCAACATCACTTTTTTTTCAATTGATATTTTTAGACAGTTTCATCATTGGCTATGGTATTATACGTCTAAATTGAGAAGGCTATTAGAAATTAGCTAAAGTTGTCGGATGTCTCTTTCGCACTTACCACAATGAAGGACGACAATAGCGCTACAATTAGAAATCTCGAGACTGATTGCCTTAGTCGAGTTCTATGATGCTTTTTGTCCAAAATTGACGTAAACCAGCTTCAGCTCGCTTCGAAACCGTTCTTGAATAAAGTGGATTAGAAAAGATTTTTTTATATGAGTGACCTATCTGATATTGGCAATTTGTTGCTCATATTTCGAGCCAAGTATAGCGTGTCGTGAGTTTGTCTGTGAGACGGGGAACTCAGTCAATCTGTATGCAACTGTTACGCGTTGCCTCGACTATGTCTTACCAAGGTTCACCATATTCGGGCCCGGGAGAGGAGTACGACTTTGAAGACGACGGGTACGATGATCTGGACGAGTACAGGGAACAGGAATCGTACCTTTCATTACCGCCGCCGCCAGTAGACGACAGTGACGAAGGTAAGTTTTGTTTACGAACAAGCAATCGGGCTGTTTTGGCTTGCTATTTCGGTCATTGTCACCTTAACAAGTTAATTTTGTCGATATCGTTGAGTTTATAGTGGTAAATAAACATTTCGTATGATGTTGAGGTTAGTTCAGATAGGTGTTGTTGTCTTCCCGCCTATTTCAGGGCCAACCTGTTTGATGACGTAATTTCGTTTGTATGCCACTTTCACCATGGGCTGGTAAAAAATTGGGAACACTACATACCTATACTTATCACTATAATGCTATACTTGTTGGAATTAAGCTTATTTCATTTTTATTTTAGATACTGAAGAAGCCAGTGAAACAGATGTTCCCAAAAATGATGAGCCACTTGAGGTCAAGGAACAGTAAGTTCTTTTTATTTCATCTTTCCTAATATCTATTGTGCATGTATCTTCATTGAACATAGTATAGGTTATTATTATTATTTAGTCAGATTGTTTATGGTAAAAATGATAACACTTGCCCATGAACAGAGCCTTATCTGAGAATCTGTTTAGCTCAGTACCTACTCAGTTTCAGCCTAGAAAGGCTATGTTAATATGAAGGTGGATAAATTGTTATTATGTGGGTAGAAATCTAGTTCTAGTATGAACAATTCAAATTTACTCTGACTTGGTATATTTTCTCTAGGATGTTCCAAGACAAGCTGGCCAACCTGAAGAAGCAACTGCAGCAGTTAGAAGACGGCATCCACGTGGAGTTCCTGCGGAGGGTGAAGAGGCTGGAACACCAGCTCCATGAGAGGCTAAGGCTCAACAGAATATACAAGTAAGAATGTTTTGTTTTTAATGTTATTGCTTAACTGATTTAACCATCAAAATTATTAGTGAATGGCTGTAAATACCTTTACTATTATCATAGCATCAAGCATTAATAACACTTGAAGTTGTGTACCCTTTACACAAAATCAAAAAATCAAAATCAAAATTATCTTTAATTATTTGTTTAGACTATTTAAATTAGTACTTACAAATCGTCAAATGCTCTTAAGGAGCCTATACATGTCTCATTATTTTTTTACACAACACTCTTTACACACATAAAACTAACAAATTGTAAAGTTCTGTAAACATAAACCAAGTAACTGCAATAAGCATAGCAAACACTTGGTTAAAAATGTTCTGCCTTTAAAGAGCAGACTGCAGAAGTGCAGAATACACTAGAGATCCAGGCAACAGTTGCCTTCATGATACATAGTAAATTGTTTTAGACAACTTGAGAAACTTTCATCATCATCATTTCAGCCATAGAATGTAGTACATTGCTGAACATAGGCCTCCCCCAATGATTTCCATAATATTAAAAACTATGGTTTCTAAAGCCTGGTCCGTAGCACGTAGAATCCCGTCCAATGACCCCAAGCTGCGCATCCTTGTCGCTCGCGCGTAATTATGTTGATGTCGCGCTCGCACACTCACTGCGGGTGCCCTTCGCACAGTCGCGACAGCAATATAATTGCACGCGAGCGATAAGGATGGGTAGCTTGGGGTCATTGGACAAGTTTCTACATGCTCACGGACCAGGCTTTAACAGCTACTAAGTCACTGACATCTATTAATAATAATAATAATCCTGTTGGTTTGTCCACAGAGACCACATGTATGATGTGGTTGAGAGAGAATACATAGCAGAGAAGAAGGCAGCAGCAAAGGAGTTTGAAGAGAAGAAGATAGAGTTAAGAGAAAACCTCCTCAATGACTTTGAGGACAAGAGGAAGATGATTGAGAATGAAAGGCACAGCATGGAACTCAATGGGGATTCTATGGAGGTAAGTGTGAGATTAAAATAAATTGTATGATTTTTAAAGCTTTAATAAAACTTTGATGGGGTGTTTGTATTATTTCCATAAATGTGGAAGAATATTGCTGTCACTGCTTATTAATTATAGTTAGGTAATTATGTTGTAGTATTTTGTATCATATTGTTTCTCATAATATTATTATTCTGTAAGGCGATTATCACACTGCGCCGCGCTCCGCCGCGGTACGCGGGACGACGGATTTAATCATTGTATGCAAGTACCTCAGTTTGTATAGAAAACACGCGCGGCACAACACACTGACAACGCATCTGCGCGCGGGATTTTTTATATGAAATCACGTGAACCGCGGCGGAGTGCGGCGCAGTGTGATAACCGCCTAATTGCCTGTCTTGATATCAAAATCATCTTATATTCAATTTTTTTGCAAACAGTTGAAAAAAAGTTACATAGCAGAAATATCTTCTGATAACTTTAAACTTGTTCAGCATACTGTCTACTATTGTTTTCATATCATGATTCTACTCTCCTCATTACTGCAATTTATTTCAACCAACCAATCTTAGAGCTAAAGCACACGATGCATTGCGGCGTAGGAGCGGTGTCGCTGCGTCGTCTTACATAGAAATATCTGTGGCGAGTGGTGCGGCGACGCAACGCTTTGTGCTTTGGCTCTTACACTAATAACACAATGTTAGCCTCTCCTCCTCCTCCAAACATAAACTAACTGTAGATGACATTTGTAATTGATTATTTACACGCTGTTTTATCACAGGTAAAGCCAGTAATGAAGCGTATCCTCCGACGGCGGGCGAACGAGCCGGCGCCGGCGCCCGAGAAGCGACGGAAGCCTCTCGCCACCACACTCACCTTCCAACTAGACGAGAGAGACATCGAGTCCGACCTTCGAGCCATCACGAGGCACTCGCCGCCGCCCAGGCATCACGCGCCCGCACACAACTCCACGTCCACACAGCCGAGGAAGCATCGGAATTCGAACAGTTGTGAGTACTTGTACTATCTTTGGGTAGCTTGGGGTCATTGGACGAAATTCCACGTGCTCGGCGACCGCACTTTAGACGAGAGAGACATCGAGTCCGACTCCCGAGCCATCACGAGGCACTCGCCGCCGCCCAGGCATCACGCGCCCGCACACAACTCAACGTCTA